GAATTGTGCTATTTTAGTTTCTCTATTTTTCTTTGACGCCATATATTATTTCATATTTCATATTCTATATTCTATAATTCACTGCACTCTATTTCACTGTAAATTACTGCTTTATTTTATTGCTATTTAACTATATTTTATTACAGTGTCCTTAAAGATTTTTTGTTTTATATTTAATGTATGCATCATGACATCAAGTCAAATTCCTCGTATGTGTGAACCTACCTGGCAATAAACCCGTTTCTGATTCTGATTTCTGATTCTGATCCATAATAGATTATTGCATGGCATATAGAGCATAATTATGCAGCTATGGAACAAATTAAGAGACCACTGCAGCATTATCAGTTTCTCTGGTTTTACTATTTATGTAGGCTATGTCTTCAAGTAAAATTAACATGCTTTTTTTATTCCATAAACTACTGACAACATTTCTCAGTGTTGGAATTCAACAGACACTGGAATGGCTGCCATACATGTAGAGATTGAGATTTAAGAAACATTTTGAGTGGTTTCTTAATTTTTCCGGAGCTGTAGCAACGACAAAGCCATACATCGAGTTGTTGCTTTGTCGTACGCAGTGCCACGGATGTATAATAAGAACCCATGTGTCCATAGATATATATAAACATGTGTGTGTGTGTTTATATATATCTATGCATGTGTCAGTGTAATTTACGGTCAGTGACGTAACTCACTGTTTCCCCTTACGGTAATTGGCACGTTACGTCAGTCACGTTTTGGCGGGATATCAACCGAGCCCCCAGTCAAATTATACATCATTCATGAGTTCAGATCAGAGAACCTTAATGACAGGTGTGCCCGTCTTACCTTGACACACACACTTCTTCTCAAGTAAGTACATGATTAAACTGGTGTTATTTTAGTTTAGTACAAGTTTTTGGTCTTTGGTTTGGCTTAAAACGCATACAACCTTAAAAGTATTTGACAAGAGAACATGTTGTTCCATTAGTCGCCTAGCAACACTGTTTTAGCAGGTAAACACCAAGCACATACTGTAAACTTCCCAGGCCGAAAACAACACCACGTGAGCTCAGTTTCGAGTATTCAGACCTCTCTGGTATTAATCAGATATTTTTTAACAGCGACCATGAGTTGAAATTACGAATGACTCCCAGTAGGTGGAGATACAGTGTTTAGTTTGGGGTGTTCTTGACTGGGAACACAATTAATACTAAGTTTAGCTCTACCCAAATCTCATTCTCTCCAGGTTGCTGTCAAAGTGTTAGTGAGTAGTGACTATTTATTTTTCATGTCTGCTGCAGTGAAAAGTAATTTGTATTCGTAGGCTAATTGAGATACTTTTTACTTAATGAGAATATTGTAGCCTCCTTTTTAACCAACAACTATATTTGAAAATTGTTTTATAGGAGGTTCATTTTTAAAGATACATTTATGAAATGTGCACTGTTGTTGTGTACTATCCTCTCCATATAAAGTGGTTAACTCAACTTGACTTAAATGCTCATTTGTTGTGGTATATTAAACCAATAATATGTGTAGCATAGCATACTGTATGATCTCTTATTAATCTGAAAGGGGTTATTCTGGATAAAGAGTACTATTCATTTTAGCGCCTGAGTACATCAAGTATGTCTGTACTTTTACCATGGCACATTTTTAACTGCAAATTAAAGATTGAATTACTTTTTTCACAACTGGTTATACATTGCATTGCATTGCTTTACATTTTTTTTTAGGATTGTATGACAGATGTACCTGATATTTTGTTATGTTGTGACAAGTTTGGGGTTTTAGTAGAGTGGTATGATGTCCACATGTTAAAGTTTTATTAAGCAAGATATGCACACCAAATTAATGGAAAAAAATGTGCGCAGGTAGCCTATAGTAAAACAGTGCTAATAAATTGTCCTTGATTGTGTGGCAAATGTGATATTTGATGTTTTAAGCACTGACATTTTCATATGTTTGGATATTATTTGTTGTTGCAGGATTTCAGCGATGGAGTGATGCAGCCATGTTCAGAGTCATTGCAGAGCGGCTATCAGCAAACAAGGCGCTGACCTTTGCACCCACTCAGCTGGGCAGAAGCCTCTAGCCCAGTGGGCTCGGTAAGTGAACCGTAACAGCAGACATGTATGTGCTGTCAGGGTGTAACAACAAGGGTTGAAAAAGGTCACATCAGCTAGAATGACAGCAGCGGTTAATTTACTGCTGCTACATCAGCTGTGCACACACACCTACACATACAGTCAGGCCTTTCACACACACACATTCCCTCTCCAGAGTATCAACACCCAGAAGGACGTGTGGCTTTTTGACATTTTGTTGTGTGACTGAATCTGCTTCACGGCCATCGGGAGTGCATAGGTCATTGCCTTTTTGTCACAAAACACTCTTGCATTAGAACATGTTGTTAAGATACAGATTGAACACAAACAGGTTTTATATAAGGATATTCAATTGTTACATGACAATGCTGAAAAGGCATACTGTATGATGTAGATAATATTTAGTTGGTGATAGTATACCAAAGTAACATTAGTTGTCATGTCAGTGAACCAATTAGCAGATGTTTTACTATTTCTATTTTTATCCATGAAAACACTAGGTGGCCTTCATGAATATTTAGTATCTATTTGCACCAATCATAAGGACATTGATTGAATGAGTATGTCTTCGGAAAAAAATGTACGTAACAAATGTCATAGGCAGGTAATGAGTCACAATTAAACCATTTGATCATTTATGTTAAATAGTTTACCAATAAACATGGATATAATTATGTTTACATTTCCAAATCACAACAATTTCATCTCTTAATGAGTTTCCCTGGCACTGATATATATATGAAGGACAACTTGAGCAATCCATTTTATAAAGGTTAAGAAAAGTATGGTATATAATAATATGCTGCCTTTTTCTGACATTTACATTAGACTACCTTTATATTTTTCTAATTGAGTGGGACATACTAGGATATCCTTATAATGCACCAACATATCTCTATAACTTCTATATTTCCATGCTAATCAAGATATATCCAAGTATTTTAAAAGCAGACAAAGTTGAGTTTGGCTGCACAGTCCCAGCTGTCCAGGTGCTGTTCCTCTTGTGCGAGGGCCCCACAGTGGTGAGTCCAGGCGGGGCACTGGGGCGGCCCCTCTTGGCCCCATGCCTGGCTTGTCATGTTGTCCCCGTTCACCCACAGCCAGCTGCCCGCCAGGTAGCGCATTCCGGTCCACACGTGGTTTGTCTGGGCTTCCGCGCTGGTCTGCAGGATTTGAACCAGATCATCTCCTGTGTTGAGGCTCACCAGGTCGGTGTATTGGTAGCGACAGTGCTCCATCGCCTCCTCCCACGTCTTGTTTTCTTTCACCAAGACCAGTTCTTCATTATAGCAGTAGAAAGGGTATTTCCGGTCACATTTCGTTTTGAGCCAGCCTTCTTCAGTTAGTACCACACAATTGGTTCTATCTCGAACTGCATACGAATGGTCCGATTTTGTACACGTTCCGTCCACATCTTGGTAGGATACGATCCACGCATATTTACGCATGTAAGTTTGATGTTTCGCCATAAGTTGATCATGTTGCACCTGGTTGCAGATTGAAGACGGATAGATATAATGATCTTTGCAGTATTGTGTGGCCTCTGACCATGTCATCTTTACATCGACATACTTCCACCCACAGAGGTCCAACTTGAAAAGACTTGCAAGGATGAGAAGCCTGAGTGCACTTTGCTCCATATTGAGTTGATGTTCCAGTCTGTGAAGTTATCTCTTGTCAAGGGTCTTAAGTACACTGGAAGGAGCAACAAGCACCCAATCACAGTGCATTCTAGGCTGTTATGAAAATACCCAGGTGATACAGGTACTGATACAAATGAAGGGCATTCAAATGAATACAATAGGCTTAATGGAAAGTCTTGATTGCCTTGAATTTGTTTGCGAACAATGTCATGTCATTCCAAAACAGCTGTCATACCCATTAAGGCTAGATAATGGAATAAAGACAACATTACATGTTAAGTTGCATATTTTATGCCACTCTACTAGACAAAACGTAGCCCCATAATAAATAGATTAATACTGATCTTATTAAATGTTTCTGATATTGATATTTGTATTATTAAAAGCTTCCTTTGTCACTGACTTTGTAGCATTACATAAGCGCAAACCCATATATGCGTTATATATACAATATAACTACCATTTGCCAATCCTTAAAGAGTGTTGTATGAACATTGAGCTCTTTAGACTGACACATATTTGGCTAATGGTATGTTTTGAATACCAAGTTTGTTTTTTCATAATAAACATTCAAACTACACTCATCAGTTCTTCGGGCTATTCACTTCTCTGCATTAGTCAAATGACTGATTTTCATATCAATGGAAACTATGACTGTAAAACCATGCGTAATTAAACCTTTGGTTCGTGGGAGAAAATAAAGGTTTCTTGTTCCAGTGTTTCTATAATAGTCTTTGATCTGTGCTTCATATCAATTACATTTTAGGAATGACAAGTTCAAATGTCTATTTTAATCCAAGCCCATTTCCTTTGGAGATTAAATAAAAATGTGTTAGCTCGTAATAAATCATAATTTAGTTATCAAATCAACCAGGAGCCTACTGCTTTGCATGATGGGATGTTTGTCTATTGTTTTTAGAATAGTAAATAGATTAAATTAGCCAGGGACTTATTCTGTTTGACTGGTCGTTAAGGATAATGAGTATGTAGTTCTTCTATACGTCTATGTTTAGATGGTAGACAACAGATACCAAGTATCTGCACCATAGGACACCACATATCTTGGATATACAGAAGTACTGTTCATGCTGTACATTCCTGAGCTATACATTTCATAATGTGAACAAATGTATTTTATATACATGTATTTTACTGGACCTGGCGTTGAGGAATTTTGATGTATGTATCGTTTTATGCATTTAAATGTTTCTGTTCAAAAATCAAGTAAGCTCCACAGAATCAAACTTAAGACGACCCACAAAGATATTGTCAACAATCACAGTTTATGAGTCAGGCACAAGTAATACTAACATAGAAAGCAGGCTTATTTACACATGCAGTACATTACGAAAGCAGCCAGTTGTTCCATAGAGAAGCTAAAAAATGTGTACCACAGATGTTTAATATCAACAAGGAGATAAAGTCTAACTCGGGAATGCTGAACCTGCTTTATGTTGTGTCACAATGTAATGGCAGTTTCATATATCAGTTTCACAACTTTAAAACTCTTTAAAAGTTAGTTTTTCTGTGTTTTTCCCTTTTTCTCTGAATTTCAAAATGCTGCTGCTCCTTCTCATTCAGAAAGACAATAGTGAGAGTAAACTTTCGATGTGTCATAGAAAAACTAAAACTGTACACTAATGTCATCATGAAATCACCACAATATCACAAAAATAGAAATGTACTTTCCGAACGTTCCCAATTAAATTTGGACCAATTAAACGTCATGTTGTTAATTATGCTTATCAGTTAAAGCATTGAAGCAAATACTAATAGCCTTCTGCTGACAATTCCATGTTATGAATAACTTTGTAGCATTATTTAATCATCACTAAAACCAAAGAATATGCTTGCCGTCTCATTTATCTATTTTGTACATTGCTAATACTTAAAGAATGGTTAAGAACGGTAACAAGAAATTCCTTTTACAAAAATAGCAGTTGTATTTGTAACACTTTTTCAGTTTGACAATCTGTGAGAAAATATAGAAAACTTTCAGTAAATAGAACATTTATGTTTTTTCTTTCACTTTTTTGCCCATGTCACACTTTAAAGGTCTTAACAAGGTCGAGGCAAATAGAAAGGAAAAGAAAACATCATTTCCTGAAAAAGAACAAATCCAAAAAACAACAATCCAGCAGTGAGCATCAGTCCTTTTTAAAAACTGTACAAAAGCTGGTCTTCATTCAACTGCCTGGCTTCATTGGTTTCATTGCACCACATTTGAGCATTAACACAATAGAGCATTGGCTCCTTCTTTGTTGGGAATCAACAGCACATATTTGGCATTATTTGGGTTTTCTACAATGATTGTACAACTAGATGGAAGTCAGGGCAGTTAACAAATCCCAGTCAGCTCCCTGCTGAGCAGCCTCAGTCCCAAACACAGCGTATGTAGGCTCCTCTTGACACCAGCAAAGGCCAGTGATCCCTAACTTTTCACATTACAGGCATTGTCAATATCGTCATCATAGTCATGAGCTTCATCATTGTTGTCATCATTGTCTTGAGATTTGCAGTGCGGAAGAGGGGAGGTGAATGTAATTGGTGGATTCTTGTTGAATTGTGTCAGTGTTGACAGTCTCTGAGGCAGCAGAGGGGCTTGTGGGTAGTGTGTCCTGGTGGGTGATGGGTAGAACAGGATGTCATGGGTGTCGAGATTCACATCTCCGTGTCAGCCACCGGGGTCTGGGTGGCAGAGTGTCCGTTAGTGGTGGGTCCGGGGTTGGTCCCATTTTCTGGTGGAGACTCCCCATTGGTGGTGGGCTTGTCGACAGGCTCCTGGGGTAGAGGGGCCACTGACACCAGGGTGTTAGCCTGGTTCTCCTCATCCACTTGGAAGGTATCAGCCTAGGAAAAGAGAAACACGACCATCAGAGCTTATACACGTTAAAGATGCACATTAAAACCAACAAGTTTAGTTTTACTGTCAACTTAGACATGCCAAAAAAAGCAAGAAAGGGTGTTGTTGAAAATGTGTTGTTTTGGGCGTTTAACAAATGCATTCTTTGTTAATGAAGTTTAATGGTTTCATCTGTGAGCACTCAGAAGCATTTTGGTAATTTGTTTTACTACTGGGTGGTTAACAATGTGCATGCATGTTTGTTGTTTCATTTTGGTTCTAGCTGAAACAAACCCTTGAACCTTTTAAAGTTTGGGGATATGCTTTGTCTTTCTGCAAGAAAATTGGGGATAACATTTAATTCCATTGCCAGACACTTATTCAATAAATAAGACAACAAGCGTAGGAAATTCAGCAATCTCTTTCATCCTAACAGTCATACTGTATGGGTGTGTCCCCATATGTAAACGCTTTGAGAAGTGATGTCATGAGCTTTAGTAAAAACTAAAACCATCTGTTGCCCCCTGGAATGGGATTTGGATTAGAAAAAAGCATAAAGCACCAATGCTGCTTTGAGTTAACGTGACATGTGAGTCAAGCATGTCCTCCCTTGAGGAATTGACCGGAGGATAACCATACGTTTGACCTAAAATCCATATGTACACAGTCACGGTGTTCAATTTCCTAAGTGAACTGGATCTTGTGGCCAAATTATTTAAGCTTAGGTCGGTAAAGGTAATTGCGTCATTGCCACACATGATGTTATTCTCCACACAGTTTAAGCACCAAAGGCAATACAGGATAGAAAGAACATGTCTACGTGGGATTTATTTTAAAGGTAGTCGGGTTGGTATAATAACTTAAACCAGATGATGAACAATGATGTCTTGGACAACTTTAATGATTCCCGAAGTATAAACAACTACAGATTTGTGGCTCAGAAAGCATTAACAGTGACACCTCCATTAATCCACTCACCAGTCTGACTCCTTTAGAGTTCTTGCGATGGGTCTTGAGGTAGTAACCGGCTACCAGCAGAGCAGCCAGCAACAGGCCAGCCAGCAGCAAGGAAACCAGAACCAGCTTAGAGCTCTTCCCCCAACGAGGACTAGCCTCCTCCACATCCGTCTGAGGACAAAAACAAGAACGTCATGTGTTTGTGTCTGCAAACAAGTCCTTGAAACCTATCTAGGTACAAACTGTATCCGACACGCATGAACACATGACATACACAAAAAGGTGTTGCGGTGTACATTGTGTAATTGTTATACCAGCAAGAGGAAATCTTTTTATTATCCGGTTAATGTTATCTATCGTGTCTTAAAGCTATAAAGGAAACAACCCCACTCCATGCCTTTGTTTACGAAGATGTATCTAGAGAGTTGGCAGTATTTCCTCTTACTTCAAAGAAGTGTCAAAACAAAAAGATGCCGGTGAGCGGACGGCATTATAGACTGGCTGAAACACTGCTAAATTACCAACGGTTTATTCTGTCTAAAGTGTAGTAAAAACTGAAATGTAGTGCATGTGGAATGCAAAGAGGCAGAGGGGTGTGACGGGCACACCCATAACCCAAGATTGCTCCCAGGGTAGTAGAGAAAATGCTTTGCAGCTGACAAATGGTCTGTTTGTGGGCTTTTTGTTTGTCACTCAAACTGACAGCCTGGCAGCTTGAGGATTTAAGTCTTCACACTCAGCCAGTGTTTTTGCTTCTCCCCAGTATATTCCCCTGTCTAGTTTGATTATTAGGCAACCAGAAAATCTGCGGTGGCTGAGTCGTGTGGATATGTCTTTGTTATTGTGTTTTTTGAAGGCCCTTTATATTGCATGGTGTGATGTTAGCTGGATATGTGACATTGAATACCAGCTTATACATGACGCTGCAGTTCCAGAATGATCTGAATAATTCACAATGCCACACCACTACTATACTAGTGTACTATCAGGACATGATAAATAGGATTTCTATAGCAAAATATACATGGTACTGTACCATGTCTTTGATGTTGTCATTGTTGAACTTCTCAGCCATGCCTGCAACGTCATCTGCAAATAATACAAAGAAAATATGTTTGTTAGTGTTTTCCTGTCACTACATTTTTTTTCTATGATGAGTACTTTGTTTATCTTTTTGTATCATATTCACTACCACAGGACGTCACTCACCTTCAACATATTTCCCAGATACAATGATTTCGTCTGTGTTGTCCTCCTGGTAGATCTCTAGCTTACAGTCTTCACCACACAGCTCCTGCAGAACACTTTCAATCTTCTTTTTTGTGTCTTCCTGCGAGGAGACCAAAATAAAATTTGATTAGTATTGAAACATTTTTCGTTTCAACATTTGAAATGATTAATTTCTAGATTGCACAATTCAACAGTTATCCCAAATAATAAGCTCTCTCCAAATCTCAATAGCTGCCTACAATAACACCTTGAATCCTCCACTCCGCCTCTTATCCCTCTTTGTCTGTTTCCTCATCTTTTTTTGTCTTTAATCCGATAAGGGCTATCACGACCCTGTGCACAACCTTTTCCCTGATAATAATCTGCAATCCAAACATCAGGATCTGCTGCACTGTAGGAGCCATTGATCCAAGATCAGATTGTTAGATGCACAGCTATGGGTAGGACACAGTGACCTCTTCCTGGAAATCTTTATCATAGGAAGCTCTGTATTTGATCTCTGTGCAAAGAGAGCTCAGAAACGGCTGGATTTCTTAAGGAAACAGCTGGATTTGAGTTATCACCAACACCTGCTTTATTTACAACCCCATCATCCTTTCTCAGTCTCGGATCAGAAATACCAAATTGGATAACTCAACGTTTCAGTCCTTTCAATATCTTAAAAACAAATATGACTTCTCTGCTTATATTTGATGTTTATGACCAAGAACCCAAGGGCCGCTCTATTGTGTATTCTGTTTTCAGCTGTTTACACATTGTTTAAATGATAAATAATGTATTTTCTCCATGAGCTGAAATCACATCTAGTGGTTGCAGACATCGACATGAGTGCCATGATTCCTGTACAACTCAAGGCTGTTATCCTGAGAAATTGAGGAATGTGTGTTTCTGAACATAAACACCTCCACGCTGCGATGCCAGGCCTCTGTACATCACATATTCTACGGCAGCACTGAGCCCACCCATGGTGCTCCCCTCCCTCTGCCCTCACAGCTCAATCCATACCCTGCCTAACATGCAAAAGAAATCTCTTGGACTTTCCACCCGACAAAAGAAGAAGACTATGTTAAAAATGTTGGATTTTCTCCAGCTTCACTGATTTATGGGAAATGGAGATGAAACAGTCATAAATAAGGAATAGATTCCTACTGAGCTTATGTTCAGTAAGCTCATGGCCAACTCAGAATGGCATCAAAACCAAGCTAGAGACTATTTTCCTTTCTTCTGTGTACTTTATTGGTATGTGTGGAAGCATGCATGTGCAAGAACATTTTGCACCCCGCCAAGATCATACGGCCCTGTAAGATTTCTGCTGCACAGACCACCTTTACTGTAAAGAGCAGGTATAAATATATACATAAACAGACAGAAGGAGGTGCTTTCTGAACTTACACAGTTGGAGGCGGCCTTGAGTTTTAGACTGACAGAGTTTTTGTCCTCGACCGCCTCTTTGCTGACACAGACAACATCTTCCTTGGGCACCGGCTGCAGATAGAAATAATAATACATGGTATTTATGTAGCATTGTTCTAAGTATTGAAAGAGAAAAAAAACATTTCATACAAACAGACAGAGACACAACCAAAATGACTTCCATAAGTCCTTAAAGGGGCCCTTTGCACATTTTCAGGTTCATATTTGTATTTTGTGCCTCTACTGTGACATGTCTACAAGCTTTAATGTTCAAAAGGTCTTTATTTTTCTCATACTGCAGCACCTCTTTTCACCCTCTGTCGGAAACCAGAGCCCAGACTGCTCTGATTGGTTCGCTGGCCGGCTCTGTTGTGATTGGTCAACCCCTTAGAGATCCTGGCCCTTAAAGTGGACCGATCATGCTATATTTAAATGATATATTGTAGGGCCATACCTATATAAGGTATATTTATACGTTTCTGTTTTCAAAATACCAAACAGATCATGCATTTTAGCCATGCCTCATTTCGCTCTATGTGCTGTTTGCTGTCTACGGGGCTGATTCTGTGAGCTGCAGCTGACCACGCCCCCCTGCAGGAGAGGGGAGCCGTACTCTGATCAAGTCAAGAGGGGGAGAAAAAAAGATCTCCGTGTTTAATTTATATATACAGTCTATGGTTTTATTATATTATTATAGGCCTATAGAGTCGTTATTCATTTGTTTTAAAGCTCAATAAATAACAAAGAAGACCTTTGACCGGCACTTTTCTAATTTTGTCCGGAAGATTTAAACTTTAACGGACATCTTGACCGGCGAAAGAAACTGAAACTGAAACTCTGCTGCACGGTCCCCTCGTTCCTTGGAAGAGGCGGAGAGGTGGGTGTTTGTCATCTGCTGGTGGACTAACCGGAGAGAATTACAGTGCTTGCCTCGACGGGGAGGGATTGCATTGAATTAAAGCAGCGGGAGCAAACGCTTGCCTCGGGGAGGGAGAAAGAAAAGCCACAGCGGAGAATAAACAGAAGGGTAACCATGGTAACTATGGGCGGGAAGTCTTCTTCGCTGCTTTTGTGGCAGACTACAGCGCCACTTACAGGCCTGGCATATGTACTACAGCGTCTCCAGCGCTTTCGAGCGGCAATGGCCGGCCGTGGCCCAACCCCACATTCCCCTGATAGGTGGAGAGTTGGCCCAATAGCCGTAGCGCCACTTCTGTGACGTCAGTGAAGTGTTCAAATCTGGATCAGTTTTTATCAGATCCGTTGCAGCCCCTTTTTTAGAGATTTGGGTATGGAGGAAAATAGAGAGGGTTGTGTTTTCTGACACTTGGTGAGTTCCCTGACACACCGGGGACACATATTCATGTATAAAAGACGTACAAAAGTGCATTTTGCATGATAGGTCCCCTTTAACCTATCACATACACTAGCCAATAGAAGCGCAAAGGACTACATTAGGCGCTTTCACGCCGCAGTACTTTTCCCACTAAGGTTAATCAGAACTTAGTTCATGAGAACTAAAGAGTTCTCATGAACTAAGTACAGATCGCGTTCACACCGGAATAAGTCCCTGGGGGAGGATTAGGCAAATGAAGCCGCTGACGTCACTTCTTCTTCTTCTGCTTTGGGTTTACTGGCAGGCCGCAAACAACTTCACGGCGTATACTGCCACCCGAAGTTCCCGGCCGGAAGTCCCCGGAGTTGGGGACTGGCTTCAGTAGAAGCTGCTGGAACTCCCAGCTGCGAGATGGTCCGCCATATTGGACAACTCCATATGGCAACTCAAATAGGACATTTGACGTCTAGACGGCTGCCCGATTTGCATCATGCATGCGCGAGTCATAAACGTCTCAAATATCTATACAACATTTTTTTGTTATTTTATTTTATTTGCAATAAAATTAAGGACATTCACAATTAATGTAATTAGATATAAATTATGAATGCCATACATATTGCATACATTCACAGTCAATATTTCTTCAGTATGTATGATAGCTGTCTAACAGAAGTTAAATCCATTTCTCACTTATTCTGACAATGTACAATAAAAGAATAAATAAAAATAAAAGAACCCAATAAAAGGAGTTGTTAAATAATAGTGAAGTCACGTTGTAATAACAATAACTCATCTCTCTCGTTCAGATTAATATTGTCGGGTTTTTTGAGTGTTCTTTTTCTGCTTTGCCAAACGCCACTGTGTCAAGTGTTTCATTTAATTTAATTTCAAACCTTTATTTAACCAGATGGTCCCATTGAGATCATAGATCTCTTTTTCAAGGGAGGCCTGCAGCATATAGGTTCCACATGAAACATAAAACAATAAAGGACATCATACATTATATTTACAGGATACATTTACATAGTTATAGACATTTACAAGTACCCATTGTATCAACGAGCATTTCATTTAGCCTAGCTTTAAAAACATGCAGAGGAATGAGATTGCTCAGTTTCAATTCTTGCTGAAGATTGTTCCAAGCAAGTGGAGCTGCGCACATAAAAGCTGTCTTACCTAAGACAGTCCTTGCTCTTGGCACATCTAACAATACTACATCATGCGATCTCAGACAATAGCTGCTTGCAACTCTCTGTGTTATCAGAGAGCAGATATAATACGGGAGTTTACCCAACAAAGCTTTATAAATAAACGTGTACCAATGACTGAGCCTCCGTACAGTAAGTGATGGCAAACCTGCCTTGGCATACAGGGTACAGTGATGTGTAAGTGCTTTACAATTTGTGACTAATATCAGTGCGCTGTGATAGGCGGCATCTAACTTGTTCAGGCAATGGGCAGGTGCATTCATATACAACAAGTCACCATAGTCCACCACAGGTAAAAAGGTCACAGTGACTAGCCTTTTCCTGGCCTCAAGTGAGAAACAGGACTTGTTTCTGAAAAAGAAACCTAGCCTAACCCTCAGCTTTTTAAGCGGGTTATTTACATGAAGTTTAAAAGTAAGACAATCATCAAGCCAGATACCTAGGTATTTATAACAGGTAACCACTTCTAGTACTTGTCCTTGCATAGTAACAATATCTAAAACAGGCTCTGGTGTCTTTTTAGCTTTTGAAAAAAGCATTACCTTGGTTTTATCAACATTTAAAAGAAGCTTAAGTTCAGAGAGCTGAGTCTGAATAATGTTAAAAACAACCTGTAATTTAACGCCAGCCTCCTTAATCGAGGGACCTGCACAGTACATCACGGTATCATCCGCATAAAAATGTAAAGTAGCTTCATCCACATTTTCACCTAAACTGTTGATATATATGGAGAATAATAGTGGACCTAAAACAGAACCTTGAGGAACACCATTAGCAATGTTTAACCACTCAGAAGACAGCCCATCAAAGTGAACACATTGGGACCTTTCAGAGAGGTAGTTCACAAACCACCCCACTGCATGGCTGGATATGCCAATACTGAGTAGCCTCTGCTTTAAGATGCGATGATCGACGGTATCAAACGCTTTGGAAAGGTCAATAAACAGAGCTGCACAAATGCACTAAAATACTCGTAATGTCATTCACCACTTTCATTGTGGCAGTGATGGTGCTATGTTGCTTTCTGAAGCCTGACTGATGTTTAGACAGGATATCATTTTTACATAGAAATTCCTTTACCTGTTCACTCACTAGGCGTTCGAGCATCTTCGCCAGAACTGACAATTTCGAGATTGGCCTATAGTTATTTAGAATAGTTGCCTCCCCTCCTTTTAGTAAAGGCAAGACATAAGCTGACTTCCATACTTTTGGAATTGCATTTGTGCTGAGGGAGAGGTTAAAAAGAGAAGTGAGAGGTGGAGAGCAATAAAATCTGCAGCTATCTTTAAAAAGAAAGGTTCTACGTTGTCCGGGCCAGCCGGTTTCTTAGGATCTAACTTAGATAATGCTTCATGAACAACATTAACAGTAAAAGGAGTAAAATTGAAAGGGTTTTCCAGACCACATTGTTCAGAGTCACGGATTGGGGTGTTCACAGAAGCAGAGTTAGTCACAGAATCAAACAGAGAGCCACAGGACACAACATGCTTATTAAAGCAATTTAACATGGTGGCCCTGTCCGATATAGAGCCAGATGCTGTGGTAAGGCACGGAGGTAGCTCATTACGGATATCACCGGTGGATATCGATTTTATGGCTTTCCAAAATTTCCTAGGATTATTTAGGTTTTCTGTGGTAACTGACAAATAGTACTTCGACTTAGCACTTTTGACATGTGAAGTGAAGCTATTCCTTAGCTGCCTAAAACACAGCCATTCTACCTCTGAGCCTGATTTCCTAGCCTTTGCCCAGGCCTTGTTTCTCTCATGCAGGAGACCGGACAGTTCAGCAGAAAACCAAGGATTGTTACTCTAAATGTACGCAGGGGTGCATGTCTATTAATGATCTCCATAAAACCAAGATAAAAATAAGACCATGCAGTTTCTACATCAGCACACACTAATAAGTGTCCTATTAGAGTTGCCGTATGTAGTTGTCAAATATGGCGGACCATCTCGCACATGCGCAGTGCAGATCGGGCAGGGGTGCAGATCGGGTAGTAGGGCTGTGCAATTAATCGTATTTTAATCTCGATTACGATTTTGGCTTGCAACGATTACGAAAACAACGTAATCGAAATAAAACGATTATTATTTTTTATAAAAAAAAAAAAAAAAATGTAATTATTATTTTTTTTAATATTTTTTTTTATTGGTTTTTCAGTTGAATTATACTTTAAGTTCAGGGTAATCAACTGTTAACATACTGTTCCAATTTTATTTTTCAATAAATGGATGTTTTCAAAGTAAATGGATAATCGTTTTTAATAATCGTGATATCAATTATTGACCAAAATAATCGTGATTATGATTTTTGCCATAATCGCACAGCCCTATCGGGTAGTGACAGTCTCTCTGCGTTTGTGCGCTGGGCTAATGCTAATGCTAATAATGCTAATAATGCTAATGCGAGGATAATAAAATGGCGGCTTCAAAAAACTTTTTGGGAGTTTTACGGGGCGTAGTTTGCAATCCGCCCAGCCAATCAGAAATAGGAACCTTTTTCTCCCACGAAAGTCCCTGCTCTCTAGCAGGGATGGAAAAGGGGGTAAAAAGGTTCTCATGAACTAATTTTAGTTCCGGATTTTTTTGGTGTGAACGCAACATTTCGGAACTATATGGGAACTAAAGTGGGAAAAGTACTGCGGTGTGAATGCGCCTAATCAAGACGTTTTAGGCAGGGGGGGAAGTGTGTGGGAGAGAAACTCCCTCTGGCGTGAACTTTGGGATTTTAACCTTTGCAGACCATTGAAACCAAAACCCTAATGCCATTTAAACATTTGAAAATGTGATACATAAAAAGTGTGTCCCTATCATGTCAAAGTAATAATAGTGAAGACTAAATAGACAACATAGCACTAGTATTTGATTGTACTGGTTACTATCATAGGACATGTTTCTGTGTACATACTGTATATCCAGAGTGAATATTACAAACCAGGGACTTAATATCTAAATAACTTTATGACAGACTGAGGGATTTGAAAGGACTTCTTTGTCTTACCTGTGGTACATTGTCGGGGCCGTCCCCTCTGGCAGGCACATGTGCTGGGGTCTCTGGTTCCTCAGTTTTGGGCGTCTCAGTATGTTCCTCAACCGTAAACTCCGGTGTATCGTCTGTTGACTTATCTGTATCTACATGGCTGCTGTCGTTACTGTCGATGGCTTCTGGTGTAGCTGCCGGTGTTGCTGCTGCTGGCGTAGTCGCTTCACTCACTGGAGATAGACTAGGGAAAACCTGGACCTGTGGATCCCCTGACTCTGAAAAAATAAATCCACTTAAGATGTTAATTAATGATTCGTGGCATTTCAGAGGTTTTTGTACAGGTGATGTACAATAAGTGAAACATGATAATAAACTAATAAGCAACCAACTACTCATGCAACCTGGGGCCTGCAATAAACGTACACGTTGATATATTCCAGACCGCAACTTGAAGGGTTTAAATCGATCAGGCTTTGACAAAACAGTTCTAGAACATGTTTTTAGAATTTCTTTCTTATCTTTTTATTTATTTTACACATCATCAAAGCATAAACTGTAGTGTTGGTAAGCGTTTGCCTATTGGCAGAGACTGATGGCTGTGTTTACAGAGGAAGGTCTAAGGATATAATGAATCGATTTTATAGCAGCACACACATGGATTGACTGTCAAACTATATTTTTATTGACTTAATTTTTTTCTATAGTGTGCAAGCGAAATAGGTTGATGTTCTTCCAATGTTCTTCTTTCGAGCTGACAAATCAATCTATAGAGAAAACATACACAGTATTTCTATGAATAATTATGGTCAGTGTTTCTTACCAGTAGCTTCTGATGTCATTGGATCCCTGTCTCCTCGTACGAACTCCATTGATAACACAGGCGCCGCCGTCCCTGTTACAACGTCTGGATCCTGTGCTGTGACTCCTCCTGTCAAATCAAAAAGAAAGCTTGATGTCACATTGTTTGAAAAAACACAGTAGCATATTTACAATTGTATTTAACATCAAGTAGCATATTGGTCTTTTAAATCGTGGCAAGACTTTTTCAATTCAGAGTCCAGACATCTTGGAAAAGGATGTGAGTAATTTGCAGACAGCTAGCTCACATGTTCCAGAGTGAGATCTCATTATCACTGGTGCAAGTCTAATGGTGAGCTCTAATTTCTCCGCTTGGAGCACTTGCTGCTGCTGGTGAGCGTACTTTTCCATTTTGTATTACCAGCTACTCAAGTCCAGCTTCTCAGAAGGTGTAATTCCACTTCAACGTTCTGCTGCCATAATATGATAAAGTTGTTATGTGAGGTACTAGCTCAGAGCTTAGGTGGTTGGTAGTTTTCACCAGTGTGCTATTGTAACATCAATTATCTTCTAATGCATGAGCTCATGCTCTTTGGTGTGCTCCCATCAAGATTTCAGTCCCTCGAGGCTCTACAATGATGTAATGATGTAGATTAGGTCAAAGATCTTATTGCAGTAGATAACAGATCTGCTCAGAACCACGGATCACATCATGAAGTCACTTTGAAATTGAATCGTTCTCACCCTGAGGTTTTTTAAAAGATCCTGTGGTAACAGTGACTTAGGCGCCGTTTACACGAGGAGAAAACTGCTTGTATCTGCATAGTTTCGCGTGCGTATAGCCCTATTATTTACACGAGGCCGATAGAAACTGACCCCACAAACGATAACGGGTCCCAAGGTGGATAGATTTGCAAACGAAACGCTCTGGGGGGTCAACCGAGTCCGTGTAATCACCTCTATATGAATATTTCCTGAAAAAATAGCGAAAAAAAAAAAAAAATAGCACCTCTCCTGCTCACTGCTGTAGCAACCATCAAAAATAGCTGTGTTAATTAAACGCACAAGGGGTTCTTGAATGAAATAATATTATAAAAGGCAAACCAGAATTGTTAACGCCCAATATACTCCTTAAACAAAATAAACAGAGTCAGATTTCATGCATTGATCCATTATATTGACAAAGGTGCATCTCACCCGGTGTTTGTAGAGAATATCTCTCTTTCTGAGCCGTCCTCTCGATGCAATATCCACAGAGACGTGCTTCTTGGTTTCTTTCAGTTAACTTCCCCGTTGCATTTATCCATATGCTGAGGAAATGACTATATCCCGCTGAATACCAGCAATCGCCACACACACTGACTTCCTCCTGTCAGTAGCTACTGCTAGTGCTACTGCTACTGACCATGCTACAGATATTAGTGCAAAAATATACAGCTCCTCTACCACAACCATCAGCAACAACAGATTCGGTTTCTTTCAGTTTCTTTCAGTTTCAGTTTCAGGGCTTAAACAGAAGGGTAGCCATGGCAACATTGCTGCGGGGCTGCTCCAGGCTGCTCTTCTTCGCGGCTTTTGGTGTATTTTGGCGGAAGTTACAGCGCCACTTACAGTCCCAGCATATGTACTACAGCGTTTCCAGCGGCCTCGTTTAAACAGACACGTTAAATGAAACAAATGCATGTGAACGGAAGACTTTTTTGAATACGCATACTGTGCATAAACGCAAACGGTCCCGTGTGAGCGGGGCCTTAATTTACGGTAGGCAAGAATGAGATAAACTAAATAAGTTGCTGAAATATATTAATTTGAGTATTCTTGTTTTCCAGTTGAATGTGCCGCTGGAAGGTGCCAGGTAATGATTCCATTGAAAACGTAACTTTTTCCAATTTTTTTGAATGATGTAATATGCCTTTATATACATATATATTTTCCATTTGTCAGGGATCCGTATGACTCTGGTGAGAGTCCTTGATAAATTGCAACACTAAATCAAAGTCGTGATAGGGTATTTCTAGTCAGGTTCTCTCAGCTGTAAATTACTTCAACTTGCAAAGTTTTTAATACGCTGGATAACTTCCAGGGCACATTTTCATTCTCTGTGCAAATTATTAAAATGTGCCACCACACCCTGCAGCCGCTGAGCTAATGAGCTGAGTCTTTATCGCTCTGATTTCCACAGGTCAAATTGCAAGTGTAGGATCCAAGAGTCAAACCAGAATACCCAGCATGCTTTTCTTTTACCCAGATTTCCCTCTCTCTGTCTATGAACAACAACATTACCTCACTCTCAAAACATTCCCATAATGCCTTACCTCTGCAGATCTCATTACCATGTTTCCTGCACTGGCTGCCAGATTGAGTTTGTGATTGATTTCATGTTATTAATCCAAGTTTGCTGCCCCCTGTTGTAATAAATCTTACTGCCATTCATACTTTGTTTACAATACTGTCCTGGTTTTTAGCCGTTGTGTCTTTTTCTGTGCAAGTATTTTTATGTTAACAAAAGAGCACACTTCAAATTCCTTTTATGTGCACACACTTTCCTAGCAAATATAGCTGATCTGATCAAGATCTTTGTGTAGTGACTTTAAAAAAATGGATTAAAATATGTTTATTTATAATCATTCCGTGTAAGATATTTCCACCATGTACTGTACATTAGAGGTAAACTGAAACACAGATTTTAATAGTTTGAAATGTAGAACAGATTAGCATTTTTAGTGTTTTCCAAATTATATTTCCTTGACTGCTTGCCTCTTGTGTTAAATTACAACTTATTTAAACAATTTTACACCATAACAAAGCATGTTTTTCATCCTCTTGCGCCTTCCTTGTACAATATAGCTTCTTTTTTTTTATACCTCTGATACACCCTATAGTCTCCTTACGCTTGTCTCTAGTCAGTACTTGAGATGTTCACACTTGAGGCACACACATTCACACAGTGGTGGCACTGTGACACAAGTCCACTGACTTCCTCAGATAAATCATTGTGACAGGCAGGTGCCACCAGCACATAGTAAACAGTGTGTGTGCCGTGCTAGCACATGGGGCAGTATAATCTCCCAGGAGGTCTTTTGGCATGCTTTAGTGCCGGCAACTGTCCACTGCAGCTGTCTGTCATACTGTGTCTAACAGGGGAAGTAAGTCTACAATTTGTAACTGGTTCAAATAAATGAGAAAATGCATCAGAGCCACTGACCTTTAAGGCAGTTTTTACTTTCTTGCCCTTGTCAAGCCCACAATAAAAGGCCCAGAAAGCTTTGTGGTACACATGGTCAGGTTTCACTATGGAGTCTGAATGTTGCCTCGTCCCACAATCCTCCCCGACTCCAGTTTACCATTAGGAGCATTAGCGTGGGTGTGGACCAGCGACAGGTCAAGGACTCCCTAACCTTGTTAAGTCTGTCCATTAGACCTGGAGTCTGCAGCCTGTAGCCTACAGCTGCCATCCCTCACCGTCCCTGTGTGGTCTATCTGTTTATGTTACCGGAAAGGATGGGGTTCAGAATGGGTGACATGGTCTTGCATAAATCAGGGTTTTCCATACAAATGTGACACACAGGAGTGTTAGAGTGCAGAGGCTGAAATGTGTTGTTTCAGCTCTGTGATCACTTTCTGTCATCAGGTGATTTGTAGCAGCATGGGGAGTAAAGCTATGTCAGTGTTGTTGTAAAATAATAAAGCCTCAAGATCGATGCTGATGGCTATGTTTAGTTTTCAGTTACAGTTTAGGGTTTTAGGGAGTCTCTGATGGGATTTTGGGGAGATGCTGTGGTGAGTGAGAGGAAATGAATTCACATTTCCTTTAAAAATGGAGAGAACCAAAATCAAACTGGCATTATTGAACACAATTTCCCTGTTTGTATAACCTGTTAGAATAGGATTTTTAGAAAGAATAGGATTTTTCTAATCCAAACTGTAAAAGATCACCGTTTCCCAAGTATTTAGCTTATTATGTCATGGCATCTCAAGCACTCTTGTAAAACTGGGCTGCTTCATTTTCATGAAGCAAAACATCCTTATTTGTCTTCAGACACAATAACACCATTTGTCTTTTTGTTGCTACACAGCCAGTAAACATTCTCAGCATTCATCACTCATTACAGACAGACACTTGCCTGACACACCAGAGCTCAGATGGAATGAAACCGCTGCATATAATTGCCACTTATGACCAACATGTGCAGAAGCGGTAAGATCTGAGTCACCGCCCTTTTATTGTTTTGTTTTTCTTCTAGACTTGAAAGCTTCCAGTCTTGCTTTTATTCAGGCAATTTCAGTCCAACTCTAGATTTGTTTTTCATGGCTTGTTGCACAACAACCATGACGTTCTGCTACTTTTCTAATGATGTTTTAGTGTTTATGAAGACAAGGGGAACTGCAATCAGTTTACTGGTTTCTTTTGAATGAAATTGAAGCCTTGACCTCTAACTTTGTTGTTATTAACACAGAGGTGTCTTGGTGTTTTTTGCTGCCCAGCTCAGCACACTTCCTGTCAGTGTAACCCATCACCATCTCACTTCCCCACTACCATCCTCTTGCACACTCAACAATAGCCACAGCTAAAGGTGATGAATCACTGATTCTACTGAAACCATTCCACTGAAACATACTGTACCATATCAGCTCACACCCCCCTGACCCTTGCACAACAAACAGACTTGACTTCTATTCCTTCTTTGTGTGTAATGTCAGAAAGCGTCCAAGAAATCAGTCATCATTCGTGAGTCTTGCTATCAGCGCACAAACACGGCAAACCTAATCGGCCCTGACTCCATATGTCATACAGCCCGGCCCTGACTTCATTGCTCTCTTGGAGATTTTCCCACTAGATTGCTGTGAATGACGGCTGCGGTCTTGAAATGCTTCACCCCACAGCCCCCCCCCATCTCTTGGGACTCCGGATGGAAAAATGTGGCAGGCTTGGAAGAAGACAAGCCTGCAGCTCAACGCCCTCCACCCTCCCGACTCTCCCTCAGTCTGCGCGCCCTCTCCTAGTCACGCACAGCTAATCCCAGGCATCCATCGAGGTGAGGCGTAGGCTTCAGTCCTCGCACCTCCAAAATGTTTAATGTAAAGCAACATGCCTAGAGACATATGGCAACAACTACTTCCCTACAATGA